TAAACAAGCGTGTTCGCTGCAATACTGTTTGTAATATCCCCAAACTAGGAACAATCTAAATGTCCATCACAGAAAAGTGGTTAAGTGCATGCTGGTACATTATTTGGAGAGTTAAAAGAGTCAAGTCCACAGGCACACATACCTGTCCAATGTGTACAAGATGAATACAATGTAAAACGTTTAACCTTTTTTCTGCCAAGGCCATTTGGATATTTATAACATCATTCACAGGCCATACAAAATTATCAACTTAAAAATTAGCCTGCTATACTTGGTCAAACATTTAATTAACTCAGCCCTAATGTCTTGGCAGGGCCAGACCAAATGATTTCACAGGCCTCATACGGCCCACGGGCCGGACGATCCCCACCCTGGTGTAAAGGATACCTAGCAAGCTCTTTATACAGAAATTCATCCTAGGGGAGGGAGTGGGGCGGAGGAACGGAGGATTTCAGCATTTAGTGTACGTGCTTTTAGATTATTTGACTTTTTACAATCCTATTTATCAGGTCATTGAAAAAGAACAAAGGGACAGACAAAATTTTGGTGGGCTCAAGCACAGCAATATGGGACTTGGGGATGAGATGGAAGAGACCAGGTTAGGCTAATGGGCACCGGCAGGGCTTATAATAATTCAGAACAGACTGATGAAGATGTCTCTCCACACTAGGAAAGTCTGCGTTCCTGAGCACAAGCCGCTTTAAAATGCATGCCTTGATTTGACAGCGGGTTAGGAGGTATCTTTATATGGCATCACCACACTCGCTGCGTATGCGCATATTAGGAAGGAGTAATAATCTCACTATTTCTCTAAGATGAGAACAGTCTACTCCTTTGAGTTTCATTTAAAATAAAATGAAATAACAGCTCTCAGGTTAAATTATCAGCATATGATCATCTGCAATATCCAGGAATAAAGGAAATTGCTGTTTTCCATTCAAAAAGAGAAATAAAAAAAAAACACACCTCAGGCAGAGGCCGATGACACTGGGTACCAATGACAATCACTGCATGCACACACATGTGTACTTACACACACGCATGTATACACACCTGCAGCTGTGTGTCCCAGAATAACAATCTCCGGAGCACTGTCTCCAGAGCATGAGAACAGCCCCTCCCACCGCCCCTCCCACCTGCGGCTCGTAGGCCGCCAGCACTCAATGGCTCGCCCAGACGTCCATCTTCCTCAGCTTCCCTTTCAACTAGTGATCGTTGCAAAACTACGTATTTTCCCCAGAGTGTTTTTTACTTTCAATTGTGTTGAAATGTTCTCAGTATTCAATATACTTCTTCTTAGAAGATAGCTTTTATCACTTTGCAGCTTCAGGAAAAATAGTTCCCCAAAGTATTTAACTTGCTCCTCGAGATAACCTTTGTCTTATCCTTTCCTACCTTCAATTTCTAGCACAGTGACTACGCATCACGGGTGCTCGATAAACGACCGTTCATAGGTTTATCATCCTCCAGCCGAAGACCTCTCCTCCCCAACCGGAGTCTCACTGAATGCCTTTCATAGTTTTTCATACAGTTGATTACCTCTCTCGTCTTTAAAAAAAACAAAAACAAAACAAAACTGGTTCAGTTCATAGTATTGCATCAATTTTAACTGTACTGTTCATTTCTTAGTTTTCATAAATATACCAGGGTTACATAAGATATTGATTGACATTTAAGAAAGCTGGGTGAGGGTATATGGGTGGGAGCCCTGTTCTCTCTTTGCAAGCCTTCTATAAACCTAAAGTTATTTCAAAAATAGTTTTAAAAACAAAACAAAATTTTAAAAATGAATTTAAAAAATGGAGTTTTTAACACTTCTTTTTCTACCTACCATCCCATTTTTTTCCTCCCCTTCACAGTAAAATTATTTGAAACTATAACCTATATTCACTCATTACCATTTATTTCCTCCCAGTTCTTCTTAAAGCCACCCCAATGTTTTCACTCTCGATCTCCACCTTGTCAAGATCACCAATGACCTTCCAGTTGCTAACCCAAACTCATCAGAACTCATCTCCCTGTCACATCTGCAGCACATCACGGCTGACCATTCTTCCCTGACACACTTCCTTCATGTGGCTGCCTCACCCACCCGCAGCTCCTTTTCTCCTTCCTGCTTATTAGAGCACCTTTTGTAACTCTAAGAGGCGCAAACCCCAAGAGCTCCCACAACTTAATGTAGATCACTAACACGGTAGAGGAAGCCTGAAACAAGCTGAATTATCAAAAGGGCCGAAAACAAAACAAAAAAGCCATGAATTCATACCATAATGATACTTTAAAAAATCTAGTTATCTTTTGGAGGTTGCTAGGGCACCAACTCATCGTAAGCTAATTGCCTTAAAAAAGAGAGAGAATCCAGCATTGATCTTGTCTTTCCTGTTCATACTCATTTCAGGGCCAAGTAAATAAGGGTAAGTTCTTTATAGAACAATCCCAGGGAATAGATGCAAGAAAATGATAGAAATGGACAATTAATCCTTAATGAATGGTAGGTATAGGCAATGATCAACAGCTACTAAAATAATTAGGTGAAAGGTTGGGAGAGAACTTCATACTGGATGGATCAGGCTGATGCAGTTAAGTGACTTGCTCAAGGTCATCTCCCTAGTCAGTGGCATAGCTGAGATTTGAACCCAGGCAGTCTGGCTGGAGGACTCCCTCCAGTCTACATTCCCAGGCACCACACTGTAATTTCCACGATGCCCTGCTGGAGTTAGCTCGGTGTTAGTACCAAAGAGATCTTGACTGGCCTGGAAGGCAAGGGCAACAGGACATGCTTGGCCAGCAGACCAGAAATACTGTTCAGCTCTCAGCACCAGAAATGACAGAGCTGGAAGGAACCGCAGTTCGTGCAAAGGTCACAACCTGGCCCAACGCAGCGGTTTACAGATGGTGATGGTGAGTCACTGGCAGGGTGGTGGGCAGAGCGGGGATCTCCAGGACAGGTGGCCCCCGCTCTAGACAACAGCAGGCGCACAGGCTGTGGTGTTGGGTGGACGGAGGCAGTGGGTGGCACTCCTCGCACGCCACACGAAGATACTCACCCTGCACCTCCGCTCCCAACACAGGAAGGCCTGGGGAGCCATTTCCTCCATACCTGGCGTCTCCTCCCTGCCAGATGCTGTTGCCAGTTGGCAGAAGAGCCCCTTGCTGCTCCCACGTCCCTGAATCTCACTGTGCTGTGCTGCTGTGCTCTCGAATACTCAGTCCTGAAGCCCAGCCCTCGGCCTGGACACTTTGGGGTTAGCTGCGTCAGGAATCCTTACAGTGGCCAGAGCTTCTCACATTCCCTTCATCTCTGAAATGCCGACGATCTCTGCCTTGATGGATATTAATATTCCTATCAGGTCAATGGCCCCTCTCCTTCCACCGAATTCATATCTGGCATTGAACCTAGAGGGTATTATGCTAAATGAAATAAGTCAGATAAAGACAAATACCATATGTTGCACTTATATGTGGAATCTAAAAAACAAAATAAATGAACAAACAAAACAGAAACAGACTCATAAATACAGAGAACAAACTGATGGTTGCCAGATGGGAGCGGGGCTGGGGGAAAAGGGTGAGGGGATTAAGAAGTGCAAATTGGCAGTTACAAAAGAGTCACAGGATAGAAAGTGCAGCACAGGGAATACAGTCAATAATATTGTAATAACCATGCATGGTGCCAGGTGGGTACTAGACTGCCTGGAGGGATTACTTTGTATATTATATAAATGTCTCACCACTGTGCTGTATGCCTGAAACTAACATAAAATAATATTGAATGTCAACTGTAATTGGGGGGGAAAAAAGGAAGTAGTTGACAAATGATCTCTGCTTAAAACTTGACAAAATTCGCCCTAGCTGGTTTGGCTCAGTGGATAGAGCATTGGCCTGCGGACTGAAAGGTCTCAGGTTCGATTCCGGTCAAGGGCACGTACTGTGGTTGCGGGCACATCCCCAGTAGGAGGCGTGCAAGAGGCAGCTGATCGATGTTTCTCTCTCATTGATGTTTCTGACTCTCTGTCCCTCTTTCTTCCTCTCTGTAAAAAATCAATAAAATATTATTTTTAAAAAACACTTGACAAAATTCGAAACAGGGTGGAGGCTAGACTGGTGATGCCAGCCATCGTCAGCCCGTAAATCACGGCTGCTTCAGCCTTCGGTCCCTGGGAGGCTGCAGCCAGAGATGGGAGGGCACCTGCTTTCCATCAGCTCAGGCACGGACTCTCTCGGCTGCAGCTCCTGGGTTTCCCGCACTGAGTGTCCTTCCCAGACTCTGTGTCCTCAGCGCTCTCCCAGCAGGCAGCCTTCGCCCCAGACTGCTTGTCTCAGAAAGGGTGGCCTGGCCCCAGCCCATGGATTTCTTTTGGATTTAAAAAATCTAAACAAGGATAAGAACCGCAGTCTGCTTCCTAGCAGTTTCACCAGGGCAGCCTTGGAACGAGGCTGCACCATTCCCTCCCCCTCTCCCCGTCCTGGGACTGCCTCCCCACCTGGGCTTAGTGAGAAGTCAGATGTGAGCTGCTTCTTTCAGTCACTCAGCAAGTATGTGTTGAGGAGCTGCTGCTTCCAGAGAGGCCCTGGCAAAGGGATGAAATAAAAGGCAGAGAAGCGGGATTTGGAAACGGCTCTATACCCCCTAATCAATCCTAAGCACATGACTATAGCCAGCCAGCCCGGCCAACGAAGGCGGATTCCACATGGAACACAGCGGTCCCCAAGGCCTTTGTCCCAGCAAGAAGCCGCCTCTACACGCGGCGCTAAGGCGGGCAGCCAGGACACTGAACACAGAAAGGGTTTCATTTGAGAAGAAACTAACAATCAGTCGGGATACACACTTCGGATATTCATTCGCATTAAGCAAATCTGCCGGCTATTCAATTCCTTAAGGCAGTTTCCCTAACAACATTCTGTTTCCAAACCCGGCCTGGATGGTCTGAGGAAGGGCTGCGGGCCATGGGAAGGTCAACTAGGACACTGAGTACAAAGGATTTTCAGAGAAACAGGACTAAGAATGTGTTTAAATTATAAGTTTATTGAATATAAGATATATAGGCTGCTGTCAAATAATTTAAAGATAGCCTACATTTCACACACAAGACCTCATTTTCTTATGATTAAATGTAAGTATATGTCTTCTTTTTCCCTCAGGGGAAAGGAAATCAATTCAAGGTACATCATGAGATAATCAAACAGTTACTAATAAAAGAAAGTCAATACAGTAAAAAATAGTTCAATGAAGTCTTTGCCAAAAGTTGATCATTTAAGTCTTGTCAGCTGTTTTTTCTTTTCTGCTCCAGCAGGTCACTCTGCCCACAGCCTTAAGAAAAGATGGAGTGGAGGTAACTTCGTCTTGCTTCGAATCGTGTCCCGGGTAAATCCCACAACCCTCTCCTTTCTACCTTTGCCTGCTCCCTACCACCACTTCTCAAAGCAGATGTGTTCTTTGGGAACATGGCTGTTTTCTAGTTGCTTGGAGAAAAAGTCTGTCATTGGAGGTGGGCCACAAATGTAGAACAAAGTCTCTCTTGAAATGTGCTCTCTTATCTCCTTCTCCGTTATTCTTCCTTCTACCAAGAAACAGAATAAACACCAAATTAAGCCAGACATGTTTGTATTGAAAGGAGAAGGACTAACCACAATGCAGCAACAGTGTTTATTTTCAGTAACTGGAGCTTAGTGAGCCCAGTCTTTAGTCATTCACACGATGGCTCCTGCTGGCACCTGGGCCAGGCCCCAGCAAAGTACATTTCCGGTTTCCTAAACTTATGGCAAGTAAAGTGGGAAGCCAATAGCAATGCACTTTCAGACCCGGGCAGTGAACTTACTGCTCTTTGGGAGAGATTCAAAAGTGCCTTTAGCAGTAAAGAAACTGTTTTGTGAAAAATCCTTCCAGGCAGGGAAACCACGAGTAATTTAAATTACCATTAATGGCAAATGGCATCGGTTCAGCCGAGGCTGGAATATAAATTCTTTGCATGCATGCTACAGTGATGATGCAAAGGTCCCCTAAAAAAATGTGGAGAATAAATTTTTAATATGGGCCGTAGGAACCCAGTATATAATAAATAAATCCAACTTAATCTCTCCTTATTTTTCCATGATGAATCACCTCTCTATTCCCCAGGTAGTGACATTCCCAGCCAGCAAGTCCAAACAATAAAGCACCTACACTCAACCAACTGCATGTCCACCACTTTACTATGGGGAGACAGTCAAAACATCTTTAGGGGACTCACCCGTGATGTATGGCTTGAGTTCTGCACTGATTGGTGTAGTCTGCTTTGTAACATGCAAACTGCATGCAATCTTCCCAGGAAATTCATTTACTAAATCGAGGATATTTTTCTGGAATGTCAAACGTATTTGGTCACACTACAATTTTAAAAAACCAAAACAGATGTGCACAACCACTGACGCCGAGCCGAGCCTCCCATGCAGCACACGTCTGTGCTCTTGCTCTCTACTTACGGAGATATTGTTTGCAGCCGAGCCGGCCAGAGCTCTCAGAGTACTGAGGCTATTTGGCTTTAATTGAAATCTGAATATGCTAACAAGCATATTACGAACTCTCCGGGAGTTTATTCTTTTTCCTTTTTCTCAAGCCTGGGCAATTAAGCAGCAGTTTCCCTGACCACAGTTCTGTCTTTTTAACTGTTACTGTTCTTTTGTTCATCCTTGCAGCTGCAAAGCAATCCGGTGAAAGCCTTCTCCATCAAATGTACTTAGTTTCCACAGATGCCACTGATGGGGGTTTCATGGACCCAGCTGGGTCCCAAGCACACACTTCTCACCTCCTCTTGTAACACAGGAGTCCACTTGTGCTTCTCCTGACTCTTTACAGTCCCGGGTCCATGGCGACTTTTCTGTCCACCCACCTCCAAATGCAAGCCCACCGGACCTGCCCTTATCCCATCACGCCCCTGGGAGCCTCCTCAACACCAGCGGTTGTAATTGTCCTGGTGAGATGTGTTGACTAATTCTCATTTGAAGGTCAGATTAAGATTTGTCAGGCCGCCCTAGCCAGTTTGACTCAGTGGATAGAATGTCGGCCTGCAGACCAAAGGGTCCCCGGTCCGATTCCAGTCAAAGGCAAGTACCTCGGTTAGGACTCGTGCAGGAGGCAACCAATCAATGTGTTTTTCTCACGTAGATATTTCTCTCTGTCTTTCCCTCTCTCTAAAAATCAATGGAAAAATATCCTCGGGTGAGGATTAAAAAAAAAATTAAAAAATAAATTTGTCAGGCCTTTTGTTTGAACTGCTGCAGAGAAAACAGAACTGAGAGAGGCAAGTTCCATGGACAATTAGTACCACGACACGTCTGCTCCCAGCAAGCGATGGAACGTACATTTCCCCTTACCTTAAACAGGAGTTCGCTGGTGTTTTTTGCGCTGTAGAAGAGTCTTATTGTCCCTATCTCATATCCACTTCCTTGGTTTGCCCGTTCTCTGTGGAGATCGGCCGCGTGCCGCAGGATGGAAAGCAGAGGGTTAATTCCGACTCCTCCTGCGATCAACACGAGGTTCCTAGAGGCATCCGCAGGCTGAGGGTCAAAGAAGAACTCTCCACCCACTCTCACGGCCACTTCAGAGTCAAGTGCGCACTAGGCAGGAAAGGAAAGATCCTGAGGCCTCAGCACAGGTCTAAAACCAAACGTTCTTCCCTAGGGAACTGTGTCTACCTCTGGGTGTCTATCTGTATTTAGGACTATTTTTCCAGCTTGCTCTCAAGTTTCCCAGGGCCCTGTGAGTTGATTCCATTTGCCCATGACACAGGCAATTTGCTCCTCTGCCTGTGGGACCCGTACTCACAGCTGGATTCGCTTGAATAACTGCCATTTGTTAACTATGTAGGTGAGGGCCTGGGTTGTGAAAAGAGCACAGGGACACCTCTGAGGTATGAGTTTCCTTTTCTGAGTGGCACTCCTGTTCTGATCAAAGCCATGGAGCCGAGAGGCTGGACGGGCAAGTGTCACTGACTGTGGCTGCCCTGGACTCATTGGCGCTGAGAAGTGTGGGCACCGGGGGCTTCCTTCTAGTCGCCAGCAGGGCACAGCCGGGCCTGCTCCACAGCCTGAGGCCAGTGGCCACCACTGTAGTACTGTTCAGACTGTTCCTTTCTCCCTGGAGCAGTGCGAACAGGAAGCCTGAGGCTTCACACCACAGAGTGAGTACCACGCCCCCACACCCACACACACACACATAAAGCACCTACTGCTCCGTGAACTCACACCAGACTCAGAGCTGAATGCCCTGGTTCTCCAGAGGCGAGACTGCTCTGAGGGGGGTGTTTTGGAGACCTGTAGTGACATTTCTTTATTGTCACAATGATTTGGAGAACACAACTGGCACTTAGGGGCAGGGTGAGAGGTGCTATGTCCTGTGCAGTTAGCGGTGTTCTGGCACTGGCTCCTCCTAAGCCGAGGGTAGAATGTGCAGGAATTCTGTGAGCAGGTACCTACTGCTAGTTTGAGATCAGCCACTGTGGGAGTGTTTACGGCACAGAAATCAGCAAAGGCTACAAATCAGAGCTTTCTTACTCAGAATGTCGGTTTAGTAGCACACCATTACCTGCAATGCACAGGACTGCCCGCCAGCCTTCTGAATGGCCCGTGAGCCATGCATGCGTAGGTGAAAACGGGTTTCTAATGACCTGAGACTAGACTCTAACTCGTTCTACAAAAAAAAAAAACTAGAAGATTTTTATTTTTCACACAGATCTAACATAGTCTGAGTTTGAGAATCTAACCACTATGTAGACTGTATTTTGTTGTGTGCAGACCATTACTAAGTATGTTCATTCACTTTTCTGGAAAACTGCTTCACAGGTGGTAACATGTGTGCGGTCCTGTCGACATACACCCTGCACACTTGCACTTGCAGATGGTGTATTCATGTGATTCTACATTGAGGGACAGCTGTCTGACAACTTCATTCTCTTTCTTAGCTCTAATACACCCAAGCATTCACATACTGAAATAAAGTATCTGGTTATGAATCATTTTCCTTTATTTCTCCTTTGTATCACACTTGGAGAAGTATGTTAAAAAATTATGTTAACTACATTAGCTTTGGATTTCATTTCAGGGTAGTTCTAGAAAGGGGCCACTGGACATGACAGGGTTGAGAACACCTAGTTTAGGGGGAAACGCAGCAACCTAGGAGTTAGAAGACTTAACCACTGCCCCTATGCAACCCAGCCAGTCCCTTTACTTCTCTGAGCCGCATCTGGAAAATGGGTCCCAGCAGTGGGCCTGCTCACCCTCAGGGCTGTGGAGGGCATTACATGACACACTGGGGACACTCCCTGTTGGAATTAAGCTCCACAGAAGAGGATGCTGGGGTCACTGTGGCTGAGAAAAAGCACGGGGGTGCCAGCTTCCTTCTTTCCTGACACTAAGAAACAGAACCTAAAACTAAGAAATTTGTATTGAGAGAATAGGTGTGTTCCATTACATGCTCCTGACATAAATCACCTAAATGAACTCCCTCCTCAGAAGTAATAATGTACCACATGCTTTCTGAAGACCAAACCTTGAGCACTCACACCTTGGCACCATGCATGACAGGCAATCCTTTTTGACATCCATTTAATTTGGGGCTCCACAAGTTACAGAAAAAATCTTAAGAGAAAATCTAAGAAAAAATGAAAAATTATTTGAATTTCACAAAGAAGGTCCCTTGGTAAAGAAGTGTTAAATGAATGGAAATTCTTTCTCTAAGGAAAAAAGAAAACCCACTTGAACTATTTTAAATACGTAGGAGAGTTTTACATAAGGACTGTAAGTGGTTTCCATTTTTGACAAAAGGAATTAGCAGCAAGGGGGCATTCTGTAAGTAGTAACTAAAATGTAAGAGTCACTAGACTGGCTACCAAAGTGCTTTAAAATACTCCTTCCTTTCAAGTCTTGAAAACAGAATTTATGATACAAGAGTCTCTGCCTAACAATGACAATGAATTTAATCTCCCTGCACCGAGCTTCCCCCTCTGGTTTGCCTTATTTATCTCTTTATCTCTAAGACTCTAAGAGTAAAAGAGACTTAAGAAATGATTTTCTCCTGTGGTCATCTCCAGCATGCTTAGTAATGACAACAAACAACGCCTTCAGGTTATTGTTTTTAGAAACCACAGTATTTTCAACCCTAAAGTTGCCAAGAAACCGCGCCCCAGGGAAAGATCATACTCAAGAAGACTTTGTCTCTTTAGTGACAAAATAATCTTCAGGAGATCTATCTTCTAATTTGCTAGCATCTGGAAAGAATCAAAGGCATCTCTGTCTTTTGCTGATCAATAAAAACTGCCAGGGTAGCATGAGCACAAGACTCGCAGTCTGTACAGCACACTATGGCAGTGAGTAGAAGGATATTACCTTCAATTACATAGCAATGTATCTAATCTGGGTATAGATTTTCTACTTGTGAAACAAACAACTCTTCCACAGCTACGGGAGCAGACACACAATAGCTGTCTAGAACCCTTTACCCTGCCAGGAGTTTGAGCCAAAACAGATAAAATAAAGGAAGACATTTATGGCACTTTATTCCATATCCCAACAGAGCAGCCTGCTGCCACCCAGACACTCACGTGCCTCCATTGTCCACTTGAATAGCTTAATAAGACAAATTCTCAGGAGGGATATAGGCACCTGAGACTGGTTCCAAGAAAAATCTGACTTCATAAAGGCCGTTTGCAGCTCCCACTGGGCAGAGTGGAACAAGCACTACAATTAGGATGTGCATTCAAGCAATGCCACTCGGAGATTTTCTATAGCCTCTAAGAATAAGTTTCTTCATTGAAATGCCAATGAGGCATGAAACCAAGCGGGGAGTTATGGACCAGGACCAGGTCAGGTCACGTGGGAGGCTGACAACCGGAGGGGCTCCTGGCACTAGGAGCCGGGATGGCTGGGCTCATTTTAACAGTGAGTGTGGGGCACGTGAACAACTTGCTGGCCCCATCCCTGCAGCGTATTATAGAAACTCAGGATGTCGCCTAGAGACAATAATGGGTAGAGAATCTAAAAAGGAATGATGCAGCTGAGGTCACACCGAAGGGAGGACTCAGGACAGAGGACAAATGTGGCAGGACACGTTTACGATGGAAATGCTAAGGCAAGCAGCTAGGGGTTATTCTGAACAGACAACTGGACATGTAAACCATAGGAAGGCCATATACTTTTATGCCCTCACAGATTTAAAAATCTTTATTGTTTGAATTATTTTACAGGGGAATTTTCGGGGGTGCACAGTTCTATGAATTTTAATACATACACAGAACTGTGTAACTACCACCAGAATCAAGATCTAAAACAGTTCCAAGCCCAAAACACTCCCTTGTGCTATCCTTTTATGCTCGCCCCCTTCCCCACCCCTCACTCTTGTCAACTACTGATCTGTTTTCCGTCATTGTATTTTTGTTTTCCAGAATGTGACATAAATGGGATTATACAGTACATAATCTTTGAGACTGGCTTCTTTCACTGACCACAATGCCTCTGAGATTCACCCATGTTGCTGTGTGCCATCAATAAACAGTTCCTCTGCCTTTCCTGCTAAATAACAATACAGCATCACAGTGTGCTCATCCACTCACCTACTGTGGGTCATTTGGGGTGTTTCCAGTTGGTGATAATTATGAACAGAACTGCTAAAAACATTCATGTACAGGCTTTAATATGAACAGAGCCTTCATCTCTCTAGTATTGGTATTACTGGGCCCTCTTTTTGTGTGTATGTAATTTCACACAAAAATGCCAAAATGCTTTCCAGAATGGCTATAGAGCTTTGCATTCCTGTTAGCAATATAATAGTTACAGTTGCTCTACAACCTTGTCAGCACTTGGCATTATCAATATTTTCCATTTGAGTCATTCTAATAGGTCTGAAGAGATATCCCACTACTATGGTTTTACTCTGCATTTCCCTAATAATTAATGTTTAGAGATGTTAAACATCTTTTCACTGCTTATTTGGCATCCTTATATCCTTTTTAATAAAGTGTCTCTTCAATCCTTTGACCATTCTTAAATTATGCTTGTTGTTTTGGGTGATTTTTGAGAGTTCTTTATAAATTCTGGATACAAGTCCTTTGCTGGATATCTAAAATGCAAACACTTTCTCCTAGTTTTCAGCTTATTTGTAAAAAATTGAAAATAGTGTCTTTTGCATTAAAAAGTTTTAAATTTTAATTAATCTATCAAACTTTTTTGGTGTCATGTCTAAGAAAGCTTTGCCCACCCTCAAGTTTCGAATATTTCCTATGCTTTCTTCTAAAACATATAGTTTCATGTTTTATACTTAGATCTATAACCTATTTTAATTTAAACTTGAATAAGAAGTATGAGAGGTTCTTTTTTTGGGTATGGATAGGCAATTGTTCCAACACTATTTGTTGAAAAGATTATCCTTTCTCCATTGAATTTCTTTAACACCTTTGTTAAAAATCAAGTGACAATTTGCTCAGTGGTTAGAGTGTCAGGCCATTCAACAACAAGTTGTGTGTTTCATTCCCAATCAAGGGTATGTACCTGGGTTGCAGGTTCGATTCTCAGTCCTGATGGGGGCACGTGTGGGAGGCAACCAACTGATGTGTCTCTTACATTGATGTTTCTCTCTCTCTCTCTCTCTGCCCCCTCCCTTCTACTCTCTCTAAAAATAAAAATGAAAAAAAGCTAAGTGGCCATATGTATATGATTCTATTTCTGAACTTTTTATTCTGTTCCATTGAGCTGTGTGTCTATCCCTATACCAATACCACACTGTTTTGATTACTGTAGCTTTATTTAATCTTAAATTTGAGTAATATGATTCCTCCCATGTTAGTTGTCTTTTTCAAAACTGTTTTATTCAAGTTCCTTTGCCCCTTGATATAAATTTTAAAAATATATACACTATCTGTACGGGTACACCTTTTTGGTAAAGGGGATTAAGAGAATGCCTGGGATGGGATGGGTTGTTGGTAAATAAAGTCGGCACACTTGCGAAGTGAAGTTGATGGCAGTGAGAAAAGCACAAGGTTCAAAAGCTAAGAGGACTAATAACTGACCTGCTTGAGCCCCTTCTTGTTATCAGACTTCTAGCAGGGAATGAACATGCTGCTTATGTAGGCGGTGTCTGAGTCCCGCGAGGAAGCACGATTATTAGCAGCCAACATGGATTCCCTCTCAGAACCCCATGTGACGAGCCCTCTAGAGCCTGACATGGAGAGGAACTGACCCCACAGATTTAGCATGCTCAGCTCTGGCCTGAGCAGTATGTGATCAGGGACATGTTCCCTCCAAATGATGACAGAATGGTAGTTTAATTCCCTTTTATTTAGGATTATTAGGACAAAATAATGTGATGTATAGATTTAAAATTTACAAGACATACAAAGAGCCAATGTTCACAACCTTACATATAAAGCAAAACGCTTTACTCCTATGGTAGTATTCAGCTAAATACTGTTTGGTGTCTCAGAAGATATTTCCAGATCCCAAAGTACCTTCGGGTCATATTTAATGCACCAAAAAGACTCTGCTTCCTTGGACTTTTGGAGCCTGAATTCAGGATGCAAAGGAGCTCTTTGTGAGCACGTACCCTCCTCACACAAGTCTAGTTTCTTAGATTAAGTGAGCTGAACACAAACTGTGGGAGGCAGAGATGCCCTAATCTGCAGGTTTAAACAGAGATCTGCTCACCTGTTTGTGAATCCAGACAGCAGGAGGGTGGTTCGTATATTTCACTGCCAATTCTATTACTCTCTCCTGTTCTAGCAGTCGGGGGCTGGAGCATATTGAAAACCCACCAACCACAGAGACTCCTGGGATAAAGAAATCAATCCTAAAAGGAAAGGAAAATAAATTATTACTGTTGAAGCAATTTTAAAAGTAGGGAGCAAGGTAAACAAAACTGACAAACTTTTAGCCAGACTAAGAAAAAACAAGAAACAAAAAGACACAAAACTACCAAATTAGACTAAAAAAATAAACAGAAAATCTGAACAGACCCATAACAAACTAATAGAATGACTAATTTTAAAACTCTCCACAAAGAAAAGGGTAGGTTCTGGTGTTATCACTCATGAATCCTACCAAGCATTTAAAGAATAATTAATACTAATCTTTCACAAACTCTTCCAAAAAATAAGAAAAGACCACTTCCCAACTCTTTCTATTACCGTGATACCGAAACCAGAGAAAAGTATCACATGGAGGGAAACTATAGATCAATATTCCTTGTGAATACAAATACAAAAATCCCAGGAATATAAGGCTGGTTTACATCTGAAAACCAACCAATGAAATACGCCACTTAATAAAGGAGAGTCTCAACAGATGCAGAAAAGGCATTTGAAAAAATTCAACATCCTTAGATAATAAAAATACTCAACAAACTAGGAATAAATGGGAACTTACTCAGCTTGATAAAAGGCAGCGACAAAATATCCATAGCTAACACCATATTTGATGGTAAAAGGCTGAAAGTCTGTCCCCGCCGCACCCCCAAGAACGAAAACAAGACATGGATGTCTGCTCCCATCACTTCTATTCAACATTGTACTTGAGGTTCTAACAACGGCAATTAAGCAAGAAAATGAAATAAAAAGCATCCAGACAGGAGAGAAAGAAGTTGCAGATGACATGATGTTGTATACAGAAAGTCCTAAGAATTTACTATGAAGATAATAAAACTAAGTAACAGGTCAAATAAGGTTGCAGGATACAAAATCATTAACAAAATCAACTGTATTTCTATAAACCAGCAATGAACAATCTAAATATGAGTTTAAGAAAAATAATTATATTTGTAATAGAATAAAGAAGAATAAAATAATTAGGCATAAATTTAACAAAAGCAGCACAAGCGTGTATAATGAAAACCACCAAACCTTGTTGAAAAAAAATCAAAGATCTAAATAAATGGGAAGACATCTCATGTTCATGGATTGAGACTTTATATGTTAAGATAGCAATATTCCCCAAATTGATCTCTAGATTCAATGCATTATCTATCAAAACCCAGCTGGTTTCTTTGCAGAAACTGATAAATTGATCATAAAATTAATATGGAAATTCAAGGAACCCAGAATCATCAAAACTTACTGCTACATTAATGAAGACACTGTGATACTGGCATAAGGCTAATAGATCAATCAAAAAGGACTGAGAGTCCAGAAATAAACGCTTAAGTTTATGGTCAGTTAATTTTCAACAAGGGCACCAACACAATTCGAAGGCAAAAGAATAGCCTTTCAATAAATGGTGCTGGGACAAGTGAATGAATATCCATATATAAAAAGAACAACGTTTGATCCCTGCTTCACACCATATACAAAAGTTAACTCAAAATGGCTCACAGACTTAAATGTAAGAGCTAAAATTATAAACTCTTACAAGACTTACACAGGAGTAACTCTTCATGGCAACAGTTACCTAGACACCAAAATACAAAGGTCAAAGAAAAAAATAAACC